GCAGGACACGATCCAAATCATAAACCTGGCACATGCCCACCACATTTCTGCTAATAGGGAGAGGGACCCACCACACACCCACACATGCCAGAGGTCCCTCCTCCCAGAGGAGAGGCCCTATGTCTGTAGAAGGTTAAAGCTGACAACATGTGGAACATCCCAGAATTATGACTCTTCCCAAGTTTAAAATACATTCTCCTCATGGGAGCAGAAGGTTCGTTGCTGTGTTGTGAATGATGAGCTGCCTCCACAGGGAACCCACTGCCACCTGGGCCAGCTTCTGGAGCATGAGAACCTGAGCCAGGGTCACCCTTTTGGGGCCTGGACATGACGCATGCTGGCTATGACTAGGAGCAGGGCTGCCTCTTCTCCCTCCCGGAGCTCTGCTTGTGGGCACGCCCTGTTCCCTCAGGTGCCATTCTCCCAGAGCTTAGGTGCCCATAAATGTTCTTACTGTGGTGGAGTAGGGCCTCCTGCTCCCACGCTGTCGCATGGGCTAGATCTCAGGTGTGCTGTTGAGCCACCTTGAGATGAGGACTGCTTCGCAGTAAAGTTTCCAGCCTGGGCCCCTCTCGGGCCTTCTGGTTGGGGACTCTCAGCCTCCTGATGCTGTTGCAGGGCAGGTCTGAGAGGCTGCCCAGCAGCACCCCGTGTCAGGGCCACCTCGTTTTCCATTTTTGAACAGCGCTCCCTGTGGTTTGTGCCCACTGCTCCATACAGCCTCTGATCCTCACTCTTGAAAGCTCCATGATAAGCGCAGAGATGGGCAATGTGGATCAGAAGGTGGGCCTCTTACTGTGGAAGAGGGAAGTGTAGGTGAATAGATGTCAAAACCCCTGATAGCATTCTTTTGAAGGGTTGGATTTTCTTTTTCTGGCAGACATTTCAGTACATTCACATTTCTCTCATTTGCTGAATGTGAAATCAGAATAAAGGAGATCAGTGTTTATTTCGTACCTTCTATAAGTTGGCATGAGCAAGATCATTCAACAGTCCTTACAACAGACATTCTTATCCCCATTTTGCAGATGAAGGAAGTAGACCCAGTTCCAGTAACCTTCCCTTAGGTTACACAGGGCTGAGATTCGAGACTGCTCACTTGACTTCATTGTCCTTTTCTTTCCTCATTGCTGAAGATGGCTTCTCCCAATGTTATCATCCTTTTTATAGATGAAACTGAGCCTCAAAGAGATTAAGTGACTTCTCCCAAACCGTGGTCTAAATAGGCTTGATTTTCTAAGGTGGTCAGTGATCATGTCATAGAGTATAAGAGCCAAAGAGTCTTCTGTGTCCCTCCATTTAACTGAGGTTGAAGCCAAAGCCCAAGGTGGTAAGTGTTACGTTGAGGGTCACAAATCCAGAGCTACATACCTCTTCTTGAGTTCGTTTGTTATGTGGTTTAATGAATTACTGCAGGACAGCCCCTGTGCTAGATTTCCTGAGATAGCCTTGAGATTTTGAATGTTTTGCCTGCCAGAAACCAATGGTTTTAAAAAATCATTGAGTGGTCCTACAGATTCAAAGTGGGCATCAAAACATCCCTCACACTGCCTCTTACAATGGCATAAAACTAAAGCCCGTTTTTTTATTTGGAAAACTCAATCCCTTTGGACAAGCCACAATAATTTTTCATTAACTGCTTAAGCTTGCCTGCAAATTCAGCTAGCTTTCCGGCCTGCTATCAGCAAAGCCATAAACATCTTTTTAAAAAATATGTTAAGGTTGGCCAGGTGCGGTGGCTCACGCCTGTAATCCCAGCACTTTGGGAGGCCAAGGCAGGCAGATCATGAGGTCAGGAGATCAAGACCATCCTGGCTAACACAGTGAATCCCCGTCTCTACTAAAAATACAAAAAATTAGCCAGGCGTGGTGGTGGAGGCCTGTAGTCCCAGCTGCTCAGGAGGCTGAGACAGGAGAATGGCATGAACCTGGGAGGCAGAGCTTTCAGTGAGCCGAGATCATGCCACTACACTATAGCATGGGAGACACAGAAAGACACTGTCTCAAAAAAAAAAAAAAATATATATATATATATATATATGTTTGTGTGTGGGTGTGTGTTAAGGTTATATGGAATACTCGGCTTTCCTTTTTTTGTGAGGTGGGGATCTCACACTGTGGCTCAGGCTGGAGTGCAGTGGCGTGATCATGGCTCGCTGCAGCCTCGAAGCCCTGGGGTCAAGTGATTCTCTCACCTCAGCCTCCCAAGTAGCTCGAACCACAGACACGCAACCATCACTCCTGGCTAATTTTATTTTTTTAGTAGAATAAGGTCTCACTATGTTGCACAGGTTGGTCTCTAACTCCTTACCTCAAGCCATCCTCCTACCTTGGACTCCCAAACGTGCTGGGATTATAGGTGTGAGCCACTGGACCGGGCCAAATACTGGGTTTTCAGTGCTCACTGCCACTAATAAAAATCTGAAATTCTTTCATTATGCAATTTCTAAGTGCCTGGTGAGGGCCAAGCTCAGTTCTAGGCTCTGAAGATTAAGAGGGAAACAAAGGTCTGCCTGCTTCTGTTGTCTCTGTGAGCATCTTTGACAGAGTGCTCAGATTGTTGGGATACAGTGCATCGGACTGGCAGCCTGAATTCGTGGAGACTGCAGTCAGTAACTTTGTGATATATGTAATATTTAGAGGACGATGACCCATTTCCCTACCTGCTACCTGATCACATCACACCCTGCTGGGCCATACTCCAAACAGCCCACCTTCCTCTAGGCCTGGCCATGGCCCTGTGCTTGCCACATTGAGGATTAAGTCAGGATATCTTGAGCTTTCTCAAATCCCTGTTTATTCAGGCCTCTGACACATATAGAGCCAGCCTTCTCTCCCCACCACTTCCACTACCATGGAGCCCACTTAGTAAAACCCTCTCTGGGCCCAGCTTCACCAGAAAAGACACCAGGGGAGCAAGGCTCAAACCAGGGGCAGCTAAATCTGATCTTGTGGACCAGTCTTTAGTAAGGGCTTTCAGCTTGGCTGTCTGTCCATTGCTTTCCAAATAGGATGCAGCAATGATTGGTACATGGATATTAAGATCGGTAGAAGGGGCTAGTCCAAGTTTAGCAATAGCCAAACTGGAGAGCCTCTGAAGTATGAGAGTCCCAGAGGGATTTGTCAGCTCCTGGCAGACATCCTGAGTTTCACCTTCCTGAGTCTACCCTCCCGCAAAAGGGTGCCAGTCTCACTGTGGTGATGGTTAGCCCAGTGTGCGCTGCACTCACACTGCAGCACAGGGTCGGTGCTTGCAGGCTGGTGGATGCTGTCCTCTGGGTTAAGACTGTATCCCTTCTGGGGAGCACTGGAGGCTTCTCCCATCTGCAGTGTTTCAGCAGAAGTTGGCAGATATGAAAACAGGCCCCCTGTAGGGAAGTAGTTCCATGAAAATGATTAATTCTTTCCAAAAGACTTAAAATTCTTTCCTATTTCAGTTTTTCCTTTCAAAAACGGAAATACATTCATGTAATTCAAAACTTAACAAGTCTGTTCAGCAGAAGACTCCCACTCTGTTTCCCCAAACACTGAGCCCCATCCCCCATCCCTGGTAGCAAAAAGTGTTTCCAATTTAAAGGTTAAGAAGCAAAGTCCCTGGATTTGTATTAGGGATGTCTTCCTGAGAATGTGAGTTGTGTTCCATTTGACCCTGGCAGTTGACCTCGGCCCACTAGGATCATGCCGCCCTCTCCAGGGAGGAGGGTCTCCCCATCACCCCGTACAGTGGCACCCTGACCCTGGCACTGCCCTTCCTTGCTCAGCATACCTTTCCCGTGGCACTCACGTGATGGGTATTTGGTTTCTGAAGACTGGTTGTTTACCCTGCCGGGATGTAAGCCCCTCCAGGGCAGGGGCTTGTCTCGTGTTCAGCGCTGCATCCCAGCTGCTGGGCACAGTGCCTGGTCCATGGCGTTCAATAAATAACTGTTAGATGAGTGAACACTTGAGGCAAATGGTGGTTCATTCTTACAGTCTCAGCATGTGCTCTCCAGGGCCCTGTGCTCAGAACTTGGGAAGGAGAACCAGGATAGTGGTATTGGGAGCAGGAAGTGGGAAGGACCTGATGATGACTTGTGGAGGCTGAGGGAGAGGAGGATGGCAGAGCTGGTGTTGGCAGGTGGAGCCCTTGTAACGAGGAGGCGGAAGGATGGGGCTCTCGAGAGAGAAGGAGGGGGTTTGGGAGGGCAGCAATCAAGAGTTTGGATGTGGAATGCGTTCGGTTGGGGTTGTCCAAGCATCTCTGGGGGCAGATGTCCACCAGTCAGCTGGAAAACTGAGTGGGCAGGAGAGGAAATGAGTGTCCACCCAGAGAAGATGCTTGGAGGTGTGGGGGCATGCACTGTGGCCAAGGGATGAGAGGGTTGGGGACTGAGCCTGTGGGCAGGGGAGAGAGGAGCATCTGGACAGTGGGCGACTTCAAGTCAAGGGAGCACTTTCAGTGGGGAGGGGGACCAGGAAGAGATGGCCCCTCTCAGGCTTCCAGTGGCCCCAGCCCAGCCC